TTGTTTGTTTGTTTGTCTGTTTTTTTGTTTTGTTTTTTGTGTTGTTCTTCGATCTGACTGTGATGGGAAAACTGTACAAATCGAAATGGGCATGATCAGGGCATTGGATGGTTTGTTCAGCATCACCATCGTTCCCACACCGGGCTAGCTCCTCCTGCTTGCCTCACTGATAACGTCCGTATTCGGCACGTGGCGTGAATGGAGCCCCGTGCAGAGGCTAACGGGAGGGAGCCGCTTCCTGGAATTGGCATGCTCTGAGGGCCTGCGTGGCATAGCGTGCCTCACCGGTCCTGGCAAACACCCAACCCTGAACAACGCATGCGGTGTTGAGAACGCGAAACTTGTCATTAGGTTAAGGCGGTTGGAGCTGAGGATGGAGGATAAAGTTGACATCGTCTGCGGATACTTGGAGAACATCCGATAGGAGCAGTGTTCGTTATGCTACAAAATGATTTTTGTCTCCGCATGTTCGTTTTGGGTAAGGACGTTGGTCAAATAACCTTCCTCAGAGCGCAAGAAAAATTCAGCAAGAGCACGGAGCAGTTTGTTAGGTCTGAGGCTGCCATTGACCTACAACATCAACTGATATGATGCAAGCAATAATTGGGAATCCGTGCAGTTCTTAGGGAAAGGGACACAGATGGTTAGAAGATGTGTTGCAATGTGTTAATGCATTTGCATGCAAGCACTTCGGTCATAAGAAGGTTTTAATTTTTGCAATCTGAACAAATTTCACGTGAAGTGAAATAATGGGGTACATAATTTGAAGATAACTCCGGCCTGTATCACGGAATCTCGCTTGCAATAACCACCAAAGGCTTCACCGGATTTGTGCCGCTCAGATCATCACTCGCGCACGCAACCGAACACAAATTAACGCTGCAGGTCATCATGCAGCAGTTACCTGAATTCCATTTTTTCTCGTAAGCATGACGACACTATGTTGTCTGCTATGTTGTAAATGCTAGATTTCTGAATGCAACGTGAAGTAGTCAATTACAATTTGTAATAACAGAATTTGTACAAACGAAGAGTAATTTAAAGCTGAAGCTGAAGGTGCTGGTTTCGCTATAATTAGTACGCAAAACTAATTCGAGGTAATTCGTGTCACGAATATTTGCATATAAACGTGGTGAGCAAATGTTTTTGTTGACAAAATAATGCATTCGGAAAACTCCTGCGCCAAATTTGATGTTCCCAATTTTTTATCTTGGCAACCACCCGTGCAGTAGTTTTGGTGCCTGCATCCACCTTTGCAGTGCATTTCGTGGAATACACAATGTTTCACATCGCAGTGTCATGCATAAAAAAATGCTTGCACCATGTTTCTTCGCATGGACACTGCTTTTCATCTCATCTTTACTAACGCTTCACTTCCCCAATATGTGATTAGGACAGCTTTGATCTACCGATGTCACCGAAGCTTTTTAAAAATAATCCTGAGAAAATTATCCTAAATCGGTTGGGATGCCAAACATTCAAGGTCGTGAAGCGACGGCGCCGCCGGCCGCTACCACATTAGTAGTGGTGGTATGACCAACGAAAGACCATCAGAAAATCAGACATGTTCATGAAAACAAAAAGTGCGCGCGTTTTCTGTGGATGAATAATTGTTGGTGATAGGCTGTTATCCTCGCCACTTCCAAAGTTCTTACTGACTGAGGTGCAGAAGTGGTCCTCAGCTGGTAATGACGCTTCGTTATTATCCGACCTTAGGGCGCGTCGGCAGCAGTGGTCGTTTCGCGCCCGGGCCAGTAACAAGCAATGTTAGCTGACGCTGACTATATTGAAATATGTTACCAGTCCTGGGCCAGCCAGCTCCCAGTTCTCAGCAGCGCTTACTCCGAAGCGCTCCAACTCCGTTACTCCGATCACTGCTCAGTGGTCAACCTCTGCCATATCTTTGAATGCTGGTGCTATCGACGTGCATGCACAGGCGCGGAGGCAATAAGCGTCGCAATCGCACCGCAGTGGGATTAATATCAAGTCATGTGCTTCGAAATAGCGGTTTGTAAGGCTCAAGGCCCAGAGCAACTTGACTGCGCCGCCACGGTTCTGGCCGATTTTGAATCTCACACAGGATGGCGTGACGCCTGGCTGGGCAAAACGACCAACGCCACCGGTTGCAGTCCGAATGTTTCCGATCCTATTGTCAGATACTGATGCAACAAGGGGATTGCAGATACAGACGGGTGTTAACGGTTGGTGAAACACTCCAGGTGGTGGTGACAACATGGTTCTCGGCGAGAGCAGGTGTACGGTCGCCCGCTGTGGCTTCAGATATGCGCTGGCCGAACGCCTAGCCTGTTTAGCGTATCGGTTCAGACCCGAGTGGTAACTATTTGTTTATTTCCAGGTTGTGCACGCTATTTTGCAGGGAAAACAAACGCATGCAACATTGTCGCGGGATATTCAGACAAATACGTGCGTGGTGCGTTCCGGTAATATGTGATTCGGTAACTTTCCATAAATATATCGCATTAAAACGTTGATGCTGGTGATAAATATTGTCGCGTTATGACTTATGATAGAAAGATCCGGTAGATCCCCCTAGCTTAGTTAGAGTACCTGTATTCGTATTCACTCACCCGTGGCGGGATGGGTGAGTCGCATTGTGCGATCGCCATTTCCCCCGACTGTGATGGCCTGCGGCTGGTGACAGCGACTTCACTTAAGATCAGGTGACATCAGAGGGCAGGACCGGCCGAGCCCGGTGTTGCGGCACATTACACTTTTGTCGCGAAATTCTGCCCCCGCCCTGGAATTTCACAATTTGATGGTGGCTGTCGGGGCTCAAACAATAGGCACTGTCTAGCGTGGGCTCTGGTTCCAGACATCCATCCATGGGCTGGGTTCGGACTGTGCCTAAGATGATACATAAATGAATATGAGCCTGCCAGCGGTGTTTGAGCGGAATTCACATTCAAGTGGCATTAGACGAAAGGACTGAAAGGATAAGATAGGGATGTCAGTACGCGGAAAGATCAATGTGGTCAGCTTTATTTAATATGTGGTTAACTTTTTCCTACGCTTTTGTAATATTGCAGCCAAAAAATATTGGGGGAGGACCCAAGCCAGCATTGGGGGATCCTCATAGTCGGGGAGGGGGGGGGGGGTAGGGCCCACACAAAAGCACGCTTCTACGAGTTGTTTTATTTGCATGCATACAAATCGACGCCCGTGAGAGTCAGCTATATTTAACAGTTTGTGGACACTTAGCTATTTATGCTTTTACCTGGAAACTGTTTGCTTTAGCTCAGTTCGGGAGCAAATTGCCAAACAATGCTCACCGCGCTGCCATGTCATGATGCACGGGAAAACCGCTCCAGTCCGGTGAAAATAAGTGAGGGAACATAGCTGTAGTGTTTGGCGTTTTCAGACATGGGATATGGTTTAGGCTGACGAGAACGTCCAAGCGCGACGTACAATCACAACCGCATTGGCTGAAAAGAGCATCACGGGCTTGGCCGGGGCAGCCCAGCTGGGCTGGATGTCACTCCGAAGGCCGTTTGATAGGCTTCCTTGGTCAACGGTCTGTCCCTCTCTTCGACTCACGTTTGCTTTCGTCCCTACACCAGATAGCGGAGTGCAAAACGGAATTTTTTTGGAAAAGGGGACCTGCGCCCACCTTCACTTTTTTCAACAACTGCGAATCGACTTAGATCCTGATGGCGTGCAGCATTCACAACTAGACAACCGGCGGGCCACGGGCGGTTATCGTAAGAGCTGCCAATCCTGACCCGGGTGTCTACAGCAGGATGCTTATCAGCCACCTGGATGAGAGCGCGCCTCTACGCGGACGAGCGGCTCTGCTCCGCAGCCGGGCATCTGATCCGGGCCCGCCAGCGGCCGCCCGCCGGGTCGTCCCGGCGCGTTCCCACGAGACCGCGCGCAACCTGCTTCGAGGCCTACCCGAAGCCCCATCGACTATCACCGAGCGAGTACGCTTACGAGTGCTATACCACGGGGTGTTTCACCTGAATTGGGACTTATAAAACTGCACAAAGCGATGTCCAAAACTGACCAAGCACGCACTGTCTGGAAAGTATTGCTGAGAATTACCAGACATTTATATTGTTGTCCTTCACACCACCGTTGGTCCGGGCTCTGGAGATGCAGCCCTCTTCTCCCCATGCTCGACGGCATACGTCATTTGCGAGACGATCAGCAAGTATGAACTGTATGAATCATTCCGAATTTTAGATAAGTGGGTTTGTGTTCAGGGGGTCGTCGAGGAGCGTTTCGTTACGCAACTGAACACAGTCTAAAAGTAATAATGTCCAAATCCTCCAACATCTGCAATGTAAAGCACATTAATAAATTCGTTCCTACCCACTTCAGTCTTTCTCTAGAATTGATGTTTCGAATGAAACACCCCGCGGCCTCCATACGTGCCTCTCCAGTCCCCTTTACCCATTGGCTGAGCGCGGCCGCGAGCAACAGAGCCACCCACAAGTGGCACTCTAGGTGACGCCGGCGCAAATCCTGCGCTGCTTTTCTCAATTCTTGGGAACTGGAAGCAAAAGTATGGCAACCACCGATAGAATGTTCAGAAACAGTAAGCCTCAATGCCTGTGCAGTCTTAAAGCTACACTGCCAGTGAGAGTACACTTGGGTTCGTTATGAACCCTAGTACACACAACTACCTTTGTGGAGACTTGTACTAAGCGTCGTAAGCCTGATTTGACTGCCCTACACAGAGTATGGGCCTATTCCCTTAACGCGGCACTAAGCCAACCGACACCATTTCCTCCCCCCCCCCATCCCCGATCAATTTTCGATTGACGCGCGAAAGACATTACGCTGGAGTTTCCTCAAACCGAAATGGTTTCACTAGATGGCTAAAACTGTGGCATATATATATATATATATATATATATATATATATATATATATATATATATAATGGTGTACATAAACCTTTTCATCGACCTTTCCCGTCATTGCCTCCCGGTGAACCACGCATGTAATGACTGTTAAGTGGTTGACAGAACAGCCGCTCAATGGTTGTCATTTAATCGCGGAGCATGATACCCTATAAACTGTGTTACTTTGCTTTTCAATTCCCCACAGATGACATTGTGAGGCGTCTTAGAGGCGTTCCAGAGTTCCACCACCCTCAGCAGCGGATCACACAATAAACAGCACGCTTCTCACCCAGCGACACAACACACGTCTTCTCGCACGCAGCATGCGCTCGGTCGTAAGGCGCATGTATTACAAGGCATGAGGGTCGGCCGGCTGGCGGCTCGTGTTGTCGCATCACACACGTGTCAAGCAGGCACCGCCGGCCCGGCCCGCAGAGCCGACACGCACGTGCGTAATGAGGCGCAGGCTGCGTGACCCACTTTGTTAGTAGCGCTGTCGCATAACATAGTCTACAAGCACCATCCCGGCCTCGCTTTTTTCCAACGGTGCGCATAAATCAAGATGCTATGAGTTTCTACAGCCAGCAACATGTTGCGCTGCTCGAGGTGCGCACGCCCACCACGTGGGCAGACCAGCGTCCGTACGCGGAAGCATCAGAATTACCAGCATCCGCGGCCGTACCTAAACGCCACGTCAATACGGACGCTACTCCTTCGACGGTATGGTTAGGTTACAAGATCTGCTGGTGAAAAGTCAAACGTGCACGCATAACAAAGACAGTCCACAATCATCACACTTGCAATCAGACTAGCGAAACATGACGCTCGTGCGACAAAGCCGTCAACGTCTAAGGCAGGCTACGCCGAAACATCGAGACACGCTTATACTCTACGGCCATGCCACGTCACGGTGAGCATGATCCCTCACTTCGCCCAGCTGTGTCCTGTATTCACCGCTCAAAAGCTACGGGGCGATGCCGTTCACACATATCATTCGCACCTTTCTTGGAAAGGATGTGCCACAAAAACTAAGCCATGCATAAGTGCATTCTCCGAAGGCCTGGAGAAGCACACTGAAGACAGTAAGCGCCGTCAGTAGAATGACTATAATTATGCCTGTCCTGTGAGAACTTAAACTGACACTTAAACTGACAAGGTTGCATGAACCGCGCGTAACTACGAAAATTGATACTATCTACTGAGAACCAAAAGTTCGTAATGCGCAAATACTAAACATAAAGCTTTAATACTACAGCACCATGCGAATCACACAGCTCCAATGCGGCGAAGTTGTCATATACACAAAACAAACCATGTTTCATTATTTTCAACACCGGCTTTTATACAGGGCACCGACTTTCATAACGCGGAAGTACAAGTTTCATCCTTTGAATTCGCTCCGTACAAGCGTTTGGGCCAGAAACAGGTTAATTTTCCTCCACATTTCTATGCTTACATCCTTAACGATTTTGACGAATCATAGAAAGAAAGTAGGTTCCGTCCAAACGCATCTCAAATACGATTTGAAGAAGAGCGCAAGTTACGATCACGTTTGAAGACACTGGCTGTTGCTTGGATTCAATGCCTGGGCAACCTACAATACCGTTCTGTAACAAACACCCAGGCACCACCAGTCACGAAAATCGGACAGCATATACCCCGTGCGACCATATAGTGCTGAAGTAATGGTTTGTTGCCAGAACAGTGTAGCCCCACGCCTAAATGCAGTGTTCATATGACCCTCGGGCCGCTGTGGGCTTACGAGCGGGGCTTCACACGCGCAATCAACCACACAGGTGCTGCCCAGCGGTGCTCTGGTGGTGTGACGGGTCCTTCCGGTCACCCACAGCGGGGCTGGCTTACGAGCGGGGCTTCACACCCCAGGTCAACCACACAAGTGCTGCCCAGCGGTGCTCTGGTGGTGTGACGGGTCCCTCCGGTCATCCACAGCGGGGCTGGCTTACGAGCGGGGCTTCACACCCCAGGTCAACCACACAAGTGCTGCCCAGCGGTGCTCTGGTGGTGTGACGGGTCCCTCCGGTCATCCACAGCGGGGCTGGCTTACGAGCGGGGCTTCACACCCCAGGTCAACCACACAAGTGCTGCCCAGCGGTGCTCTGGTGGTGTGACGGGTCCCTCCGGTCATCCACAGCGGGGCTGGCTCGCCCACAGGCGCCAGCTGACGGCGCAGCCCTCGACCGATAGCGCTCAGCTAAACCGTGAGCCCGACAGCCGGGGCCGCCGCCACCCTGGCGCCGCCTAGGCCACCACGCAGCCGCTGTGGTTCTTCGGATCCTGGTCCGTGTGGTTGTCCTTGACCTCTTTGACAGGTGGCAGGTCTCCCTCCGCCTTCTCCGCTGCCTTCTGCAACCGGCCGGGCGTGTTCTCAATAGCCCACAAGACACCACACGATGGCTATCATTACCCTTTCAAAATACGCACCAAAACGCGTATCGCCACTACCTCCAGTCGCCGCCACCGCCACGGCTATATTTGTTCCATACCATGGCAGGCAATACAAAAAATCACTACCTCCCTAATAAAACGACGGTCGGTCATTACCGCAGCCGACTACGCACTGCGAATAAAAATATTAGCGGAGTGCATAACACGGTGCTGACGTAAATGTCCCGCAGCAACATAAGCACACGTAAACCCCCGCACTACACAACGTACGGCTAAACAGTCAAGCACACACACGCACACGATGTTGGGGTTGGCTCTCAACCAGCACGGCCTGTTCGCAGCAGACGGCGCCGCGGCGGCCCCAGCGAGCGCCTGTCCTGTCACCGAGTCCGTCCCTTCCCCCCCTCACCGACGGCCGGTCCCTCCCCTCACCGACAGCCCCCTCCCCTTGTGCTCACCGCGGGCTGGCCCCCCTCTCCCCTTTCTTCACCGACGGGCCGGTCCCTCACCGCCGGGCCGGTTCCTCCCCTCACCGAAGGCCTCCTCCCCTTGTGCTCACCGACGGGCCAAACTCTCCCCTCCCCTCACCAACGGTCCCCTCCCCCTGTGCTCACCGACGGGCCGGTCCCTCCCCTCCCCTCATCGACGGCACAGTGCCTCTCTGCTTACTGACGGACCGGTCCCTTCCCTGCCCTCATCGACGGCACAGTGCCTCTCTGCTTACCGACGGGCCGGTCCCTCCCCTCCCCTCATCGACGGCACAGTGCCTCTCTGCTTACTGACGGGCCGGTCCCTCCCCTCCCCTCATCGACGGCACAGTGCCTCTCTGCTCACCGACGGGCCGGTCCTTCCCCTCCCCTCATCGACGGCACAGTGCCTCTCTGCTTACTGACGGGCCGGTCCCTCCCCTCCCCTTACAGACGGCCCCTCTCCTGTGCTCGCCGACGGGCCGGTTCCTCCCCTCCCCTCTCCTCACAGACGGCCCCCTCCCTGTGCTCACCTACGGGCCGGTCCCTTCCTTCCCCTCACCGATGGCCCCGTGCCCCTCTGCTCACCGACGGGCCGGCGTCACCCAGCTTGCTGACATCGAAGGCGGCGTAGCTGACGGCCGTCCAGAGCGGCGCCGGCGCCGGCATGGCGAACTCGTCGGGCGCCACCAGGCCGTATGTGTTGTCGCGCAGCTCCAGTGCCGGCGCGTCGTACGGCACCTTCTGGTGGTAACTGGCGGAGGCGGGCCGAGACGACGCCCGGGGTCAGGGGTGGGGGAGGCGGAGACAAAGCTGACGGGAGCCAGCAGGCCGCTTACACATTTGCCTCGTGACACGACCCCGAAGGTGGGTTTGGAGAACGGATGTTTCCCAGGGCCCGTGTTCAGCATGGAGAGGAGCATCCGAAGGCCCTTGACTGTCAGTGTGTATCGCATCGCCAGCAGCGTGGTGCTATCGTGATGATGCGGAAGGCCGGCAATCTACGTGATGACTTTTAACCCGTCCAACTGGCTAAAGCTGCCAAGAAATACTCTTTGCCCAGTCAGGTTCCCGCCATGCTCTGGGATTACGCTTAAAAGACATCAATAAATACGGTTTCTTGTTCGTGTCACGACAGTTATCACGAAATGAAAGTTCTAGCCATTTACTGTGCTCCTCTCGATACCTAATGCGTACATTATTATAGCCCGTTGCTAGTTACACGCCGGGGGGGGGGGGGGGGGGGGGGCATAAACACTTCACAGCGGAAGAGTATGGTACAGCCCTACCGCAAAACACGGTCAAACTCCAGCCTGGCTCCCCCGCTTACATGAATCCATTTTCGCGTTCGCATTTTTCCAGGGTCCTGTTCAGGATCGGTCCCAGCTTTCTGAAGAAGAGGTGCTTCTCGGGCTTCACCTTGGCGCCGACGCCCTTGGCGTCCGCGTACTCCTTGCACAGCTCCCCGGCCTCGGTATAAACTGAAACGGGGTTCAGCGCGAGCTCACAAGGGTAACAGCTGTTGGACGAGCTGCATGGTCCAGCTCGAAGCCCAGTGGTATGCTGCTTCATAAGCCCAGCCGACCACGCATTTACAATACCTACTCATCGCTACCAAAGTCTATTATGAACCGGAACGTGCAAATGCAGCAGTGGCATACCCACACCGCTATCTGGACTGGATTAATCTGACCAGATCAAATAAAAATAATGTGACCGCAAGGAGCCCAGAACGAAGCACTGGCTTTCGTATCCACAGCCCATGGTATCACGAGCAGACAACGGGAGGGACGAGAGGCCACACCTACGCACCTAGGGCCTTACATGGCCCCAGCACCCGATTATTTCGGTAGCATCGTCTCATAAATCACCAGTTCGTCCACTCCCAAAGACCACCCACTCGGACCCCCAGACCCAGGCGTTAAATTCTAGAGATGTCCCTACGCCGACTCATGTAGCAACTAGCCGGACGTCATGGCACAAGTCAGCGCTGAAAGCGTAAGGAGTCGACCTGCTCTTCGACTGTCGTCGCGCGTTGCATATTCATCACCCTGACTTCCATCATCAAGGCTCAAGACCGAAACGCCAAGCCGACATGAAGGAAGTGGCGTGTGCCAGTATCTGACGGAAGTTACAATGTCCGGTACTCAGGGGTACGTACACGCCTGACTCTCCTTCCGGGGAAGTTACAATGCCCGGTACTCAGGGGTACGTACGCTTCTGACTCTCCTTCAGGGGAAGTTACAATGCCCGGTATTCAGGGGTATGTACACTTCTGACTCTCCTTCAGGGGAAGTTACAATGTCCGGTATCAGGGGTACGTACGCTTCTGACTCTCCTTCAGGGGAAGTTACAATGTCCGGTATTCAGGGGTACGTACACTTCTGACTCTCCTTCAGGCACCGAATGGCTTCTCCACACTTGTCATCAGCCAGGAAGTTCTCGCCCAGGTAGTTGTACGCCTGAAAGCGCAGGAGAGTATGGGTCCGCGTTGCGTTCGCAGAAGAAACATAAATCAGACGAAAATGCCGAACCACGCATTTGAAGACCACCAAAAAAACGCGTATGGCGTCCGTCCATTCCGAGCACTAATCCATGGATGCATATGAGCACAAAACTAGTTGGTCCAGATTTGGAAGTCACGTCAAAAAGAGCGATACGCCAGTGACGGTCGATGCATGGTGGTTTCTCAGCATTGCCTAGGGTACGCATGCCATTTATTAACGGTTACTCACATACAGACATTCATATAATTGTCGCCGCACTAAGGTAGGGATTCACATGCCGTCCATGACCCGTCTTCCCATTTTTACGGAGTATGAATGTGATGACGTAAAATGCGTTCGAAAGCGTTTAGACGAAAACGCAAAGCTAGGTACAGGCATCTGCCCATATTCCCCTTGTTGTCCGTTTGGCCACAAGACCCGCACTTCACCACCGGCCTGAAACACCCCAAACGAGCCCGCCACCAGGCCCCGCCACCAGGCCCCGCCGCCGGCGCCGCCGCCGCACTCACATAGGCTTTGTAGACGGCCGCCTTGAGCTGGAGGTACTTGGTCCAGCGCTGGACCAGCGCTGGCTCCATCGAGCGCAGGCTGTCGGCGGCCGTCTGGAACATGCCCGACGTCTCGTGCGCCAGGGCCGACACCAGACCAGGTGAGTGCTTCAGCTCGATGGCGCGCGCGATCGTCACTGAAAAACGCGCGCCGCGGACTCAGCGGGTGCGTGCACGCGTGCGCGAGCATCACCACATTATCTGCTTCATCTACACGAAGATGTGTCATTATGTCTGGTCTTTCTCCTCTCCTTTTTCCATTTTCGCCTTTTTCTCTGATGTCTTTTTTGTTTTTTGTTTGTTTGTATCCCTGTGTACTGGCGTCGCTCTCACGAACACATAGAGTCGTGCTTCAATGATCTCTCACAGATTCTACCATTAACTCATCCATCCCCTCTTCAGGCAATGAGGTACCAAATACCACTACATATGAAGCGCCGCTCAATTACACACCTACGCATGCATTTGATCGCCTTCCGGGCATGCTTTCAATAACGCACTAGTGAAATCAACATTCATTCATTCTTTCATTTATTCACTCATATCTGATCTCTAGCTGCGACGCCTCACCTTCCTGGGCCTCCGCGGTGCACTGGTTCATGTAGGCAGTGATGACCCGAGTGTCACAGTCTCCCTCCTTGACACTCTCCTCCAGCAGCTGACCTGTCGGCAGAGGGTCAGCTGATGCAGACGCGTGGGCGGGAGGGGCGTGACACCGGCGACCGAGCGGCAGCGACTCCTCTCGCCGGAGCAGCTGAGGAGGGAACGGCCAGTTGACACCGGCGACCGAGCGGCATTGACTCCTCTCGCCGGAACAGCTGAGGAGGGAACGGTCAGTTGACACCGGCGACCGAGTGGCATTGACTCCTCCCGCCGGGGCAGCTGAGGAGGGAACGGCCAGTTAACACCGGCGACCGAGCGGCATTGACTCCTCCCGCCGGGGCAGCTGAGGAGGGAACGGCCAGTTGACACCGGCGACCGAGCGGCATTGACTCCTCCCGCCGGGGCAGCTGAGGAGGGAACGGCCAGTTAACACCGGCGACCGAGCGGCATTGACTCCTCCCGCCGGGGCAGCTGAGGAGGGAACGGTCAGTTGACACCGGCGACCGACCGACCGGCATTGACTCCTCCCGCCGGGGCAGCTGAGGAGGGAACGGCCAGTTGACACCGGCGACCGACCGACCGGCATTGACTCCTCACGCCGGGGCAGCTGAGGAGGGAACGGTCAGTTGACACCGGCGACCGACCGACCGGCAGTGACTCCTCACGCCGGGACAGCTGAGGAGGGAGCGGCCAGCGTGTGACCACTGGTGGCGACTGTGGTAGTGAGGAGGAAAGGCTTCACCATTCGGGCGCCAGGTCTGATCACCCACTGAGAGGTGTAAAAAAAGTGAAAAACCTTTAAAGGCTTAAAGCTTAAGGCTTTTTAAAATGCTTACAAAGGCAAAAAGTCTGCCAGAATCATAGTCCTCGAGGCGTTACCTTTTGTCGCCAGCTTCATAACTATTCGAAATATCTGGTGTGCAAGACTCAACAATTTGAACACTAGCTTGGCTGAATGGATGACAGCTATGGTTCTTTGTTGAGAACATTCAGCATTGCACATTGGATGTGCTGAATTCATTGATTTTTTCAGCGACTGCTTTTCTGATAGATCAGACTGTCTCGCTGCTGTGCAGATTGACGATGTTCTTGCCAGATTATGCGGAGACTTTGAATGAAATCTCCAGCTCAAGCACATTTATCCATACACTTAACGACAAATGTCTAAGGTATTGAAAGGCTAGTATAAACTGAGGCATAAATGATATCTGGCTAAATATTTGCACCAGCAACTAAACATTGTCATATCCCAATACTAAACACGTTCCCCACAATTAAACATGTCACATCAGATGCACCAATGACCGATGACTGCAGCAACTTCAGCCAGGGCCGTGTCTGTTCACTACGGTAGCAATGTTTGACAACTGTAGCGTCTCAAGTCCGGGTTGTGTCTGATCACTACGGTAGCAACGTTCGATGACAGCAACGTCTCCACACAGGGCCGCGTCTGTTCACTACGGTAGCAATGTTCGATGACAGCAGCGTCTCCACACAGGGCCGTGTCTGTTCACTACGGTAGCAATGCTCGATGACAGCAGCGTCTCCACACAGGGCCGTGTCTGTTCACTACGGTAGCAATGTTCGATGACAGCAGCGTCTCCTCGCAGGGCCGTGTCTGTTCATTACGGTAGCAATGTTCGATGACAGCAGCGTCTCCTCACAGGGCCGTGTCTGTTCACTACGGTAGCAATGCTCGATGACAGCAGCGTCTCCTCACAGGGCTGTGTCTGTTCACTACGGCAGCAATGTTCGATGACAGCAGCGTCTCCTCACAGGGCCGTGTCTGTTCATTACGATAGCAATGTGCGATGACAGCAGCGTCTCCTCACAGGGCCGTGTCTGTTCATTACGGTAGCAATGTGCGATGACAGCAGCGTCTCCTCACAGGGCCGTGTCTGTTCATTACGGTAGCAATGTTCGATGACAGCAGCGTCTCCTCACAGGGCCGTGTCTGTTCATTACGATAGCAATGTGCGATGACAGCAGCGTCTCCTCACAGGGCCGTGTCTGTTCATTACGGTAGCAATGTTCGATGACAGCAGCGTCTCCTCACAGGGCCGTGTCTGTTCACTACGGTAGCAGTGCTCGATGACAGCAGCGTCTCCACACAGGGCCGTGTCTGTTCACTACGGTAGCAATGCTCGATGACAGCAGCGTCTCCACACAGGGCCGTGTCTGTTCATTACGGTAGCAATGTTCGATGACAGCAGCGTCTTCACACAGGGCCGTGTCTGATCATTACGGTAGCACTGCTCGATGACAGCAGCGTCTCCTCACAGGGCCGTGTCTGTTCATTACGGTAGCAATGTTCGATGACAGCAGCGTCTCCACACAGGGCCGTGTCTGATCACCACGTCCTTCTACGGCTCAAAACGCACGGGATCCCATCCGCCTGACTCGACAATCCCATCACAGTCAGTATGTGACCATTGCTAGTTGGAACTTAGGGCAATGTGTATCAAATCCTGAAATGGTTTCGATTGAGTTGCTCCCTGTAACATCCATTTGAGTCAATTTCGACTCCATCTGGGGGGCGAACCCAAGTCTGCTGACCACAAGGGAGGGCCACGGGGGGTCTCGAGTCCGCGTCAGGTGCGGGGTCACATGCGCCTGCACGTGCCACCTACCGATGTAGCGGTCGTGGACGGCCTTCATGAGACCGGCGGCTCGACGCAGACTGCTGTGCACCTCCTTCCCGTCCTCCATCGTAATACTGCAACGGGAAAACGAGGTCAGCGGGTGGCGCCACGACTTCACATAAGGGCAAACATAACCACAGACAATTCCGATGAGCGGGCATGGTTGGAACCGCTTTGACTGATTACGGCAGGGGCGACACGGAAACGGAACACGTGGGCGGGCGCGGAGAGCTTGGATATTTGATGGCCATACCAATAATCTTATTTTCAGCCTGTTGTCTCCACTTCACGGAGATGGCCGTGTCCTACGCGACGATGCCTCTTTCGAGCCGATTGATACATCTAAAGCCTTCGACAGCGTCGAACATGGCCGGCCCCTGGAGAAGCTCTGGTGGTATGGCACTGATACCCATTGGTTTCGACCCTGCCTACGCAGACAGCGTGTGCGCGGTGGAAAAGACGCTTTATCGCTAAGTCACGGTGTAATTAAGGGCTGGATGTTAGGACCAATTTGATTTCTATTAGGTGCCCATAGATTTTCATTTCACATCACCAACTGCAATTTCGTCATGTATACCCACGATGTGCAGTTTATCGACACGTGCTAGCCAGGTGCTTCAATTCGCCTCGAGGTTGCATCGAGGAAACTTTGGCAGTAGCTGACTCCTGGCTCGCGCAAAACAATTTGACGATAAATCCGACAAAAGCTGATTTTGTCGTAGCGCACACACGTTGGCGATGCTCGGTTCGCGCGTTTTCCATTCAACGAGGACCTTCCGTTCTTCAAGCCTCCCAGTTCGTCAGAATCCTTGGAATTGTTGTGGATGGAAGCCTGACTTAGGAGCCACGTGTGTCAGCGGTAGCACACGCTGCTATGCATGCATCTGCAGAATCTCAAAACTTCCACAGAAGCTGACGAAAAATGTGGAAAAGAGGCTAATCAAGGGTTTGACCTTTTTGAATTCGCCCTATTGCTTGACTGTGCGGAGGAGCTGCAGCGAGGCCCGGCGGCGCCGCTTCAAAGAAGCCGCCAGCCACTGTGCGCGTATGGTGAAAGGTACTAGCCGCTACGGTCATGTTTCTCCCGTCCTAGCCGAGTTAAAACGGCAAACAGTGACAACCTGTCAGCTGAGCGTGACCTGGCGGTAATGCATAGCTCACGGACATCTCTAAGGGAGCCTGTGCTGTACCGCGGCGCAGTGTCAGCCCGCATTAGGCGTGGCAACAATGACAGCCGTTTAGAGCTGCCGGGGGCGCGCCCGGAGATGGCCCTTAACAGCTTTGCCTTCCGGGCTGCTCCCGGACTGCCGCCGCTGGGCTGCGGATCTCCTGTGGTGGCACGCGATGGGCGGGGCCGAGTGCCTGCACCCGGCCAGCTCGGCCATCGCTCCAACATACTGTGTGAATGTGCATCGTGTGCTTTAGTGCTTTCTTGTCATAATCTGTGCACGTGCGTGCGTGCGTGCGTGCGTGCGTGCGTGAGCGCGCCTGCAAAACGTGAAGCACAGCCAGACTAGTCGCATTGCGGAGGTTACTAGAAAAAACTTATTGATTGATTGGTTGATTGAGCATCGACGTCTCCTAATGTGACCCTCAGTTTTGTAAAGTTGTGAGCATTACAAACAGAGTCGCTCGCATTGTGCAACACGGCAAATCCTAAGTCGCGAGGGCCAATTTTCGATGTGAGAACCGAACCAAAACATGAATGGGGGACCACTGGGTCAAGTGACGTAAGAACAGACACCTGGCTAACTTTATACGCAGCTTAAGTAGAGCTTTAAATTCAGTTCGGGTCACCAGGTAACGCTTAAAACTCTTCTCCGCGGAGAAAAAACGGCACTTGTTTACTTTCTGTGCTGAGCAGTGACAATCCACGAAATACTGCTCACGTTATTGCACACTCAAGCAAGGAGACAATCTCATCAGCCACTTGGTGTCGGGTAGTCATTTCTCAGCGAATATACGGATATGCCAATGTAACAGGTGTAAATGGCATGCAGCCCGACAACGTGTAACACAACTAAGCACTTCAATAACAGGCTCAGGTATGTCACAGCCTTGCTTGACCGTGCCAGTGGCACAGATAGGAGAACATTAACACTTACTCCTCTTTTCCGGCGATTTTTGCGGCCCGCTTCATGTACCAAACAGCGACATTCTGACAAATACAGATGACTTCGAAGACGGCATCCTTTTGCGCCCTGAAAGAAAGAGACCAGTCGGCGTGACGTGGTGAAGAACATGTCGAGAATAAATAGCTGAAAAATCGCTATTAAAAAACACATTGTACGACAATGTCGACAACACTGGAAACCGTCGAAATCCGCTGGTTTAAATCGATTCCCTCGGGTCGGACCGTTTAAGAGTTGAGAATTTGGCGATACTGCTGGACCTTAGTTAAGCCCCTGACGACCCGCCACTATCATGACCCGCTTCACAGCCTGGGAGAGGTTTCACCCCGGGCCAGGTGGCGCTGTAAAGCCTGTCGCATAATTTCGTGTCAGGAAAACGCAAGCGACTTGCTTCACCATCCTGCCCGTCACCCAGACAGCCACACCACCCACACCACCACCAGTAGACAGCAGCGCTGTGTCCGGCAGGATTGAAGCTCATGCCACTCAGGCAGTGGGAATCGAGGGTATCACCACCATTAGCTAACATGCCAAGCTATGCTTAACATTTAGCACCATAACTTTGACTTATAATAAATGGCACATGATCGACCAACCAATATGACAATGAATCAGGATGACATTTCTGAATGTTGATGTGTGTAATTTCCCTTGCAGGGAGGCGGCCGAGGCAAGGCCGTCCGACTCGGTATCAATCTGACCAGCCATCCCCGCCGTCCAGCGCCCAGTGAGGCCGCCGGAGGCAGAGGGACGGAACCGCGGTGGGGTCCCGCCCCGGGGCCCCAGTGGTAGGGGCCCACTCACTCTGGCGTGTTGCCCAGCAGCGTGTGCGTCCAGCGGAAGCGGACCACGTGGCGCAGCTTGCTCTGCTGGTCCGGCTGGTCCGGTGCCTGCAGGAAGCCGGTGAGCAGCGCCAGGTAGCTGTTCAGCGCCGCCTCCAACTCCTGGCACTGGTGGCCGGCGTCCGGCAGCAGCTCCAGCAGACGGTGACGAGCCTGACGCAGCTCGCTGCAACAACGCCGGCTTAGTCGGCTGGGACGACGGGCAGGCGAGCAGTGCCCACCTTCGGCCCAACACACGCGCGGACCTTCGGCGGACCTTACAGAATCCAGAGCACAGTCTTGATGTACACAGAACCCCTCGTAACAGGCAGACATACAGGTATCTACCATTAGGGTAGGTCACATGGGAAACCTCTCACTGAAGTGTGTTGCATTTGCTGCTTGGACAATCAAAGCATAATGATTGCTGAGAAAACCGACTGCTGATTTATTGGAGCAATTGACTAGTAGCCATGGCCAGTGAGGCGTAAGGCAACTTGTGCAGCACAGGCGCAGAGGTGATCAGAAATCATGGATATAAACCAAAGGGTACATGTCACCAAAAACCAGGCTAATGGAGCTGGACACCTCTGGGGACCACCAGCAGGTTGAAGCAAAAATTATGTGCATTACAACATTTGGCTTTCATGATTTTAACACAAGGGAGCCCACTGATGATGCATTTGTGCACCAGTTGGTGAATATCACTGCTCAAACTGGGCCGGATATATGGTAGCCAAACATGCAAATTCTGCATGACAAAATTGAATATGTTCAGGCTTATCATGGTTCTACTGATTGCCAACCAATTTTTACCCAAATAACAAATATTTCAGTGAATTAGTCACAAAAACATTGTTGTCTGCTGCCTTAGTTTGAAGAACACAGGCTCTTCTGATTTTGACCAAAGCATCTAGCATTGAAGGTAGGTTTTGAAAAAGGTGACACCTGCTGGTTTCTAGCTGGTTGCTAGCGCACCTGGGTTGGACAGTTCTGTGGTGTCAGTGAGTTGTAGCCAGCATGTTTAGCACTGTTTAGCAGCTTTTACATTTTTATCTGCCGCAGTGATTGAAACCTGACGTCATTCCTTACGAGCCCCCTCCCCCTATATGGGTAGATCCATAGTTAACATGAGAGACCATGTGTGCACCCGAGGGCATCAACACACACTTTGGCCAGTGTGGATGGCAGTCTCTGCCTCCAAGATCTGTTGGGCTGATGTTCTGCAATGACAGTGTATTAGGATCTGAACCTGATGTCAGGGTTTGTTTTTAAGCCTGTTGTGATCTTCAAACATAGACCCTGGCCATGCAGGTTAATGTCCATAGGCAGTCATATCATATGACAGGCAGTCCAGTCTCCTGAAAATGGGGAGCATATGACTCATATGCTCTCCATGTTCAGCCTGGACCACCTGTTAATGTTTCCTGTGGACAGCCTGTCCAGGTCACATGTTGACATTTATGCTGGATTCTCCTGAACTTTTTTATAAAATTTTAATGTGCTTTTTTGAAAGTTCTTTTAACATGTTAAGAGTAAAAGTAAGCACCAATCAAATGTGCAATTTTTTGTTGTTCATTGGTGTTTTCGGGCACATCAACTGCAAAAGTCACTTTGCACCCATAATGAAAATCAAATGTGCCAATTATAATGACATTACAAAAGATAATTAGACCACAGAAGCATAGTTTTGTATAAAGATGATTAAGTATATTCCCATTAAGCTCTAAGGAATCCTGAAACCATACTGGATGAGTTAGCCTGACATGACCCACAGCAAATGTACAGATGACAGATGTGAGCACAACTGGACAACACTAGGTCAGGCCATTTGCACCATACTGAGTCACATTTTAATGACCTGTTCACTTTACTAATCAGGTAACACATATTAAGAGACCACCTTTTTCAGGATGTGCTGGAGAGGAAGGTGACTTTAGCTCAGCTTGACTCATCCTTTCCCATACATTGGAAACAGACCTACAGCTTTTTCTGGATTGACTGATATCAAAAGGTGCTTATAAATATATGTCAATTAGTATCAACAACTTCCATTACAGCTATAATTCTTACCTGCCATGTGTCCCAGCAAAATCCTTAAGTATGCATTAACACAGCTCAAAGCAGAAAATCCCTCTTCTATCACATAAGTATCATGCTTGATGCTGAGGCAGAGTTTACATAAGAAACACTGTGCATAATGGTGCTTAACTTCTTCACATGCTAGTGTTTCAAAAAGGGCATTCCATGCTCCTTGAAAGCCTTCAAATTTGTAAGTGTTAGAGGACTGATGTCTTGAACTAGATACTTGAGATGGCTGATCATCAGGACACTTCTCATGTGTCACTTGAAGATATTCATGCATGGTTTTAAGTGGCATATGAGAAATGCATGTAAATAAATTTTGGTGCCATCATATATAAAATATATATGATGGCACCAAAAGACCATCTCACACAATACTATTATATTATCAATAGGTAGCCAGCAATGTCACAATCATACTGCCCATTTCATACATGAGTCATTGATATCATTTGATTACTGCATAATTAGATGAGAAAAAATTCACAACACTTTGTCAATACAAAGCTAACTTGGTTTATGAAAGACCAGAATGAACCACTAAGTCCACTTATCAATATCAAAATATCTGGGCATGTGTCATTAGTAAGCATAAGACCCAGCTATAGATGACTGAATAAAAATCATCATCCTGTTTACATGAAGGTCACCATTCTGTACCCACCTGCATATTTTCAAGGATTCTGGTTCAGACGCAAAGAGCTTCAAATCAAAATTAACATGGCCCGTAGCCTTCAGGCCATTTCTGTGGAACCAATGGGACATGTCTTATTGTTTCGTGAGGCGGTAAGTGAACAGGTGGCTAGGAGGTTACCGCAATCCTGCACGACTTTACTTGAACTGAAGTAGACTGTGGATGGGTTTACGTCCTTCCCAGGACGTCGCAATTCAACAAAATCAACCAGAAACTGGTTCCTGACGGGCGTATATTGCATTAGCCTAATAAAAACACCCAATCATTACATTAATGGCGTACGAGCTACAAGTAGCGATCGTCACTAAAGTGCTGCATGGTCTTTTATCGTGCAATATTCACTAATATTGACAGATAGACGTAAATATATCCACATGCCGTGCAAAGGCGGACAGAAAAAGCTCAACCGATATTTCTTAGCTCAAAATAGGCCTGGCTGGAGCGAACACCACCGAATAAGCTAAACTCTTGAAATATTCGACTGCCTGGAATGTCTAGTTTTTTTAGCCGATGCCCATCCTTTTTTCGCCAATGCTTGTTTGGTGGTGGGGTCCGGTATATTGAAGGTGATTTACTGTTAGAAAAAGGAATCATTATCATGACGCCAAAAAGCAATGAGCTCAAGGTATGTATCACTTTGGGTGTTCATCTTTCTTTGCCGGTATCGACTTGGACAGGGGCAGATCCAGAAGTGGGGCACGAGGCCATGGCCCCCCCCCCCCCCCCCCCCCCCCCCTGAGCCCCGAAGGTGCCCATTGGCTCTGAGGGGCCCATGGCCGACCGAAAAGGTGCAGTTTTTAAAACCACAAAACGTAAGAAAACTGGGTATTTCTGGACTTCCAGGTGACCAAAAACAGTTGTAAGCGAAAGTGAAGGGCTATGAGAAGCAAAAAAAAAAAAATTATTCAGTGGTTGGGAAAGTCATAAACTGAAAATTTCAGGCCTCTTTACACAGTCGAGGAGCCCACACTGTTTCCAGGGCATGTATGTGCCCACTTGCAGGATCATTTCGATCGTTAAGGAGCATTTCACGCCGTCCTTCACTTCTTTGCAGTTGCTCGGAGGGTCCTGCGCTGTTGTTGAGGCCCTCCCTGTAAGCGTGCCGGGGCACTCTTGTCAATCACGGTCCCTCCCACAGATTCTTTCCATTCGCCAGAAGGGCTCTGTGAGCTATAACCGTGGTTCCATATCGTAACCTGTCGGGGTATTCTCGGTTGCTCAGGGGCCCTTTACGTAGGTCTCGGTTAACGTACCGACGCACTTGCAATATGCTCATGAGCCCTCTACATGGATCTAGGGCGTTTCCAATTCTCTCTCACTTGCTTAGGGCCCTACACTCTTGTCGATGGCCGATCTGATGGTCTGCTTGGGCGCATTCAGTCGTTTGGGGACCTTCCACACTGGGTCTTAGGTGCTTCTTTTCTGAATGTGGGGAGGGCTTACACTCTTGTGGGGGGGGGGGGGGGGGGGCAATCTGATGACCTGCTCGGGTCCATTCGCGTGTTCGGGGCCCTCTTCATTGGGCCTTTGGCGCGTGCTATTTGAGTGGGGCCCTACGCACTTGTTGGGGGGCTCCTCTGTTTGCCTCCCCGGCCACACTAGATTGTTCGGGGGGGGGGGGGGGAGGAGGCCCTGCACATTGGTTCTTGATGTTTGAACTTAGGGCCCTCTGCTCCCATCGGGGTCATCTGATAATCTGTTCGGGTACACTCCATCTTTCGGGGGCCCTCCGCACCGGTTTTGGGTACCTCTTATTTGAATGGAGGGCCTTACGTTCCTGTCGGGGCCCCTCCTCATAAGATGCTCGGGCCCATTCGATCGTGGGGGACATTTGTATTTGGTCCTGGGTACTTTCTTCCTAAATGGAGAACGCTCTGCTCTTTTCGGGGACCTCATCTGGTAAGTTGCTGAGGTGCACTCAATTATTCGGGACCCTCTACTTCGTGTTGTGGGTATTTCATATTTCAATGGAAGGCCCTACGCTCTTGCCGGGGCTCCCATCTGTTAGCCTGCTCGGGCACACCCGAACATCCGGGGGCCCTGTACATTGTGTCTTGGCTACCTCCTAACAGAATAGAGGGCCCTACGCACTTGTCGGGGGCCCCATCTGTTTGCCTCCTCGGCTACACTGAATTGTTCGGGGGCCGTACATATTGGGTCTTGGTATTTGAATTTAAGGTCCTGCACTCCTGTCTAGGCCACCTGATGATCTGATCGGGTATATTCCATCTTTCGGGGGCCCTCCGCACTGGGTTATGGGTCCTTTTTATTGCAATGGAAGGCTTTACGCTTCGTTGGACCCCTTTTAATAATATGCACGGGCACATTCCATCATTCTGCGGTCATTTACATAAGATCTTCTAAATTTCTAAAGATTAAAATCTTTGGAATTTCCCATTCGAATGGAGGGCCCTGCGCTCTTGTTGGGAGCCCTATTGGTTAACTTACTCGGGCACACTCGATTATTCGTGGGCCCTCTTTATTGCTTCTTGGGTACTTCCTATTCCAATGGAGGGCCCTACGCTGTTGACGGGGAGCCCTATATGTTAATCTGTTCTGACGCACTGGATCAGGCGAGGGTCCTCTGCATTGGGTCTTGAATACTTTCTATTTGAATGGACTGCTCTAAGCTCTTGACGTGGGCCCTATATGTTAACCCGCTCGGGCGCATTCGATCGTTCAGAACCCTGCACATTGCGTCGCGAGTATTTCTTATTTGTGTGGATGGCCCTAAGTTCTTGGTAGGCCCCATCTATTCAGCTGCTCGGCCCGATGGCGGATGCAGAGGGTGGGGGAGGGGTGGGGTGGAGGCACGGAACCATACTCCATCGACCATGCCGAGGGACCTGAAGGCTCCGAACGGGTTCACAACCGGCAGGACGAACGCAGCTTTCTTACAACAAAACGCAATAAAATTGGATGCTTTTAGGCCTACAGACGACCAAGAACCATAGTTAGCAAAAATAAAGAGTCCATAAGCCAACGAAGCTCATTTTTTGCTGATTGAAAAAGTGTTGTTTGGGGGAAATTTTTGGGCGCATTACGCTGTCTTAGAGGCATAGAGGCAAATCAATGAGCTATATATGTTGGCTTGCTCTGGCACCTCAAATAACTGTTTAAGCTGCGTATCGTTTATATTCACTCGACTATTCACTAGTCTTGTTACGTAAGTACCTTCGACTGTTGGGCCTTCATGTCGCTACCCATAGTAGCGCCTTTCAGATTTAAAACCAAAAAAGTGTTCCCGATCACCAGGTTCCAGTAATATATTTAGTGGTGTCGTAGTGAAAAACCGCGCTCGAAGCTGACGGCACGGGCACTGATTTCTCAAAACAATTGGAAGGCCCAAAGTCTCGAAAGTCACCATAAGGGACAGGCGCGAAAAACTTCTTGGATTTGTCGACTTATGATCCGGGCTTTCAATATATATATATATATATATATATATATATATATATATATATATATATATATATATATATATATATATATATATATATATATATATATATATATACATATATATATATACATATATATATATATACATATATATATATATAATATACATATACATATACATACATAGACACATACATACATACGATATATATATATATATATATATATATATATATATATATATATATACAGATATTTATACATCTATATATATATATATATATACAGATATTTATACATCTATATATATATATATATATATATATATATATATTCCAAAATATTTACATATATTGGTGTATGTAGACAGTGAATTGTTTTCTATGCAAGAGTTGCTAAAGATCTTGGCGCACGAAAATTTTGCAGGCTTTTTCTGTCCTTGCTCGAGTTTTCTGATTATGGCTCTCCGCTCATTATTGAGACTGAAAAGTAGATCGTTGATGTTTGACATCCATTGATTGTACTAGGGTTTCAGCATTACATATTCCATTTTCAAAGGTATACACATAAGGCATACAAGTGAAGGATATGTGTTTATGTATTACAGTTAGGTGTAGCCAGTGAGGTGTAATAATTAGGTGTGGTCAAGCTCAGCTCGATTGCCAGATTGTTTAGAGTCTGAATTAGGTGGTTGTCACTTTTTAGAAGCATTAGAATTCAAGCGGCAAAACACGTGCTAAATAGTAAGATATACCATCTACGGATGGTATTGATCGTCCCTAAATGAGGTGAAGGGTGACTGAGGGGTTGGCTTCCTTGCTCAGTTCCGTTGACGATGTTTTGATCGTGGCAGCCTCCAGAACATAAAGCTTCCTCATGTTGGATGAAAATGTTATGATTAACTTGCTCTGTGCATTAGCGAGGAACATTTTTGACATAGGTAAGACAGTAGTATTAGCCGTATTAGTCGGAAAAAAAAACAGGAGAATGGAGATATAGTTAGGTTGACATTTCGCCAAGATGCCGTTATCAAAACAATAGCAGAAGTAATGAAAAAGTAATAAAAACTTCTGGCATAGATAAAGGCATGGTGTCGAAATATCAACCTGACTATATTTCCATTCTCCTGTTTTTCCCGAGGAATAAGTCTAATACTACTGCCTTACCTACGATAATGCTATGATGGTGGTGTTTCTGGTGAGGTCGTCTCGGTTGATGTTCAGGCCGGGCTCTTTTTACACGAGCTCTTTTGGAGCACCGCCAGTCAAGTGCATTGTCAACCGCCTTCAAAGTTTGGTAGCAGTGACACCAACGTAATGTGATTGTTTTAGGAGCCCGCAATCTGCCATGCACAACAAAATTGACAAGCGACGTTGGTTCGTTTTAACAGGTTAGAGTTGGTCGTGAGGATACTTTTTAATGATTAGTTGGGTGACCTTTCCGTTTTTGTAGTAGATGGTGAGCGTTATCTTGTCGTCCTGGCTGACTGGCTTCACATTTTCAGATGCTATTTTCTTGAGAATACACTCGTCTGTCTGATAACTATCAGGCATTTGATTCTGATAGAAAGGCTAATTGAATTTAGTTGATGTTTGATGGCGTCAGTTTTTGTCCGATGTGCATAGGCGGATCCTGGAAGGGGGGTGGGGGGGGGCACGGGGTCATGGCCCCCAAAAAACTCTGGGAGTATGTTTTGCCCCCTCCCAAAAAAGAAACATTCCCAGAACTTCATACAAGTTTCGTCCACTTACCGTCCGTTATCACCATTTGCAATAAACCCCATCTGACCAGCTGGCTCTTGGAAGTAATATCTTATGTTACGAGCTTTGTA